ATAGAGAAAATCAACAAAACCAAAAGTTGGCTGTTTGAAAAATATAAAATTGATATTCTTCTGGCCAGGATAAGAGAGAATACAAATCACTAATAACAGAAATAAAAGTTCACTATAGAACTCATGGATGGGAAAAGCAGAATAAAGGAATACTATGAACAACTCTATTCCTGCTATATGATAACCTAGTTGAAATGGACTAATTCTCTGAAATACACATTCTGCTAAACTCACACAAGAAGAAATGGATGATCTAACTATATTATGTCTATTAAATAAGTATAGTTAATAACTAATGCCCTTCCAAATCAGAAAGCACCAGGCCCAGATAGGATCACTGGTGAATTCTATCAACTGTTTAAGGAAGAATTTATACCAGTTCTCTGCAATCTTTTTCAAAGGACATATATCAAAGGAATACTCCCTAAGCCAAGTTACAAGGCCAGCATTAGCCTAACACCAAAATCAGACAAAACATTATAAAACTAGATCAATGTCTCATGAGCATAGGTGAAAAAAATCCTGAACCAACTATTTCCAAATAGAATCCAATAATTTATGAGAAAATTATACACCTGACTAAGAAGGATTTATTCCAGTTATACAAAGCTTATTCAACATTTGAAAATTAATGTAATCCATCATATCAATGAACTAAACAAAGAAAAATCATATCTTATCAATAAGTGCATTAAAAATTGATGTACAGATTCAAAGCAATCCCAGTTAGAATCCCAGAAAATTGTTTTGTAGACATTGAGCAACTGATTCTAAAGTTGATGTGGAGAGGCAAAGACTCAGAATAGCCAACACAATATTGAGGGAGAAATATAGTCTAATCTTTGAAAAAGTTGCAAAGGCAGTACAATGGAGCAGATAGTCTTTTCAACAAATAGTGATGGAACAACTGAACATGAATATGCTTATAAAATTTAGACATGGGCCTTACACACTTTATAAAAAATTAACATGGATTGTAGACTTGGATGCCTGGCTGGCTTGGTCAATGGAGCATACAGCTCTTAATCATGCGGTTGCAGTTTTGAGCCCCATATTGGATGCAGAGATTCCTTAAAAATAAAATCTTTAAAAAATGCATCATAGACCTAAATGTGGAACAAAAAACTATAAAACTCATAGAAATTATATAGAAGAAAATCTAGATGATATTGGGTTAGATAATGACATTAGGACGCCAAAGCCACAACCCATGAAATAAAGAATTAAGCTAGACTTCATTAAAATTAAAAATTCTGCTCTGCAAAAGATACTATCAAGAGAATAAAGGCAAGCTACAGACTGAAAGAAAACATTTGCAAAATATACATCTGATACAGGTTGTTATTCAAAATATACAAAGAAGTCTTAAAATTCAACAGTAAGGAAACAAACAGCCTGATTAAAAAATGGTCCAAAACCTATAGAGACACCTCACCAGGTAAGATATACAGATGTCAAATAAACACATGAAAAGATGTTCCACATCATATGTCTTAAGGGAAATACAAATTCAAACAATAATCAAGTACCACTGCATACGTGTTATAATGACAAAAATACAGAAAAGTGACAACATTAAGTGCTGGCCACGATATTGAGCAACAGCAATTCTCATTTATTGCTATTGGGAATGCAGAATGGTATAGCTAATTTGAAGACAGTTTGGTGGTTCCTTACAAAACTAAATATACTCTTACAACATAAACCAGCAGTTGTGTTTCTTAGTATTTACCCAAGAGAGTTGAAAACTATGTCCACACAGAAAACTGCACAGAAATATTTGTAGCATCTTTATTCATAATTGCAAAAACTCAGGGCGCCTGGGTGGCTCAGTCGGTCGAGCGTCCGACTTCAACTCAGGTCATGATCTCACAGCTTGTGAGTTCAAGCCCCGCGTCAGGCTCTGTGCTGACAGCTTGGATCCTGGAGCCTGCTTCAGATTCTGTGTCTCCCTCTCTCCCTGCCCCTAACCCACTCGCATTCTATCTCTCTCAAAAATAAATATATATATTTTTTACATAATAATTGCAAAAACTTGTAAGCAACCAAGATGTTCTGTGGTAGGTGAATGGATTACTAGACTCTGGTTCATTCAAACAATAGAATATTATTCAGCAGTAAAAAAATGTGTTATCAAGCCATGCAAAGACATGGAATAAACTTAAATGCATATTACTTACTGGAAGAAGGCAATCTTGAAAAGACTACAGATTGTGTGATTTGATTCAATGACATTCTGGAAAAGGCAAAATATGGAGAGAGTAAGAAGATCAGTGGTTGCCAAGTGTTAAGGGGGAAATAAAGGGATGAGTAGTGAAACACAGAGGATTTTTAGGGCAGTGAAACTATTCCTTATGATACTATTTGTTGGCTACATGATACACATTTGTCCAAACCCATAGAATGTAAAACACCAAGAATAAAGTCTTATATAAAGTATGGACTTTGATTTTGATGTGTCAATTGTCAGTTCATCACTTGCAAGAGATGTGCCACTCTGGTGGGGGATTTGGTACTTGGGAAGGCTATGCTTATATACATGGAAAATTTCTGTACTTTTCTCTCAATTTTGCTCTGAACCCCAAATTGCTCTAAAATACTTTTTAATTACGTTAAATTAGAAAAATTAAACTTACAGTAGAAAAAATTTAAAAAAAGAAGCAAAATCTGTAAAAATGAGAAAATAAGGAAAATTAGTGAATAGAATAGTTGTATCCTTCAGAAGATTATTACCAACATCTAGACATGCTTATCAGGAAAAGAACACAAATACCAAATATCAGAAATGAAGCAGGTGGTACTCAAAATCAAAGTTAGGAAAATGATACGGCAAAAACATAAAAGAGAAAAAGAGATATATGTACAATCCTAGTTCCAAAATATGGAAGTTATTTTTAATAGGTAAAACATGCATATCATAAGTAGCCATATAGAACATTCAGAACAATTGGTAAGGAACTAGATGATTTCAACAACACTAAAAACAAATGTCCTTAAAAAAAAAGATTTTATTTAAATTCCGGTTAGTTAACATACAATGTAATATTAGTTTCAAATGTACAATATAGTGATTCAACACTTTACAACAACACCCTGTGCTCATTACAAGTGCCCTAATTGACATTTTTAGAACACATCATCCAACAACAATAAAATACATATTTTTAAGGTAAACGTAGAATTTTCAACAAAATAACCATAAGGTAGGCCATAAAGTTAGTCTCAAAAATTTCAAAAAAAATTGCTATCCTACGGAGTACATATTCAGTGACCAAACAGAACAAAATTAGTAATTATTAACAAAAAGTAAGATATTCATGTATTTGAAAACTTAAGCCACATACATATAAATATCCCTTAGGTTAAAATATATACCACAAGGGACATTATTTTCAACTGAATAATAATAATACAGTATATTTCTTTTTGTGGGATGTGGTGAAAACAGTGTTAAAAGGAATTTTCTTAGTATAAGTGCTTCTATTAAAAAAAAAAATTGGGAGCGACTGGGTGGCTAAGTTGGTGAAACTTCTGACTGACTCCTGATTTTGGCCCAGTTCATGATCTCATGGTTCGTGAGATCCAGCCTCCTGTCAGGCTCTGTGCTATCAGGATTCTTGAGATTCTCTCTCTCTCCTCACCCTTTGTGCCTTTGCCCTGCTCATACGATCACTATCTTTCTGTCAAAATAAATAAACTTAAAAGAAGAAATAAATTAAAAACATTAAAAAATACATTTTCTAAATTTCTAACTTAAAAAGCATAATATAGTAAAAAAATAAAGACAAATTAAGTAGAATTAATAAAACGTTAAACGAATATGCATTATAGGTTGGTTTTAGTAACCTACAAGTGGAAACAACCCAAATATCCATCAACTAACGAATGGGGAGATAAATTTTTTCTAGATTTATATGGTGGAATCCTACTCAACAGTTTAAAAGAAACACACCAAAATATGCAAAAACAATGATTAGTCTCAAAAACCTTAGTTTATTAAGAGAAATCAGATGCATATTAATATACAATGTATTGTTTCATTTATATTAAATTTTGTAACAAATTTTAAAACTGATTTCTGGTGACTGAAATAATAACATCGACTTCCAAGGGGTATTGGTCACATGAAGGAATTCTCTGGAGCGATGGAAGTGTTCTTCATCTTAATTAGGTTGTTGATGGGGCACCTGGGTGGCTCAGTGGGTTAAACATCCAACTTCAGCTCAGGTTGTGATCTCAAAGTTCATGAGTTTGAGCCCCACATCAGGTTCTGTGCTGATAGCTCAGAGCCTGGAGCCTGCTTCGGATTCTGTGTCTCCCTCTCTTTCTGCTCCTCTCCTGCTCTCAGTCTGTCTCTCTGTCTCTCAAAAATAAATAAACATTAAAAAAAATTTTTAAAAATTAGGTTGATGATGTGTGTATGTATTCAGTAAACCTCACTGAATTAGAGAAATAAAATGTCTGTATGCCATTATTTATAATTTACTTTATTAATGACATAAATTAATGGGGTGATTTACTTCTATAGAGATTTTTACATAATTGGCATGGCACCATGAGTATTTTCAAACTGTTCTATAAAACGTGGTAGTGGAAAAGAACAAATCTTTATTCAGGAAGCAACTGCTTTACTAGCTATATAGATAAGAACAAATCTCTTCCTTCTTATTAATGTCTCTGTAAAGACTAGTAAAATAATGTATATAATATTTGAAATTTATTAATACATTAGAATTATATATACAGTTATGTTTCAAGTAAACTGCTTTACATTATAGCTACTGTAATTTCTCATGTGTCTTGTTTTTGAAAATGTATTTCTAGAAAGTTTGTGTTACTTATTTCCAAAGGGATACCAAAGTTTATTTGGGCTAATGTACAAGCAGAGATAATATCACCATATATATTTATAATGAGGCTCTCTATATGTGTTACTATCAATCAAAGCTATTGTACCCTTTTATTTGCTTTGTCTGAATTATTTTCTTATGTATTCATAGGTCAACTGAAAACAACAAGAAGAAACAAAGACACCTACAGAATAAATTCTGCCTATTCTGTAAGTTCTCTATCAAATACATTTATTATTTACAAATCCAGGTTTCTCTACATATGGATTCTATAAATGTATTGTGTGTTTGTGCTATTGGTATAATTAGCACATATATATATTATACAATTAGCATATATATATATATATATATATATATATATATGATGTACCTGATATATATGGATATTTAGCCTAAGTAGCAACTGAAATATCTCCTTAAACAATAAATTTAAATCACATATCTTTTTAAAGAAAAAACATGAAAGAATAGTGTTTTGTCATTTCTTTAAAATAGGAGATCTGTAAAGAATGGAGTTTGGGGGTGCCTGGGTCGCTCAGTTGGTTAAGTGTCTGACTTCAGCTCAGGTCATGATCTCATGGTTTGTGAGTTTGAGCCCCACATCAGGCTCTGTGCTAACAGCTCAAAGCCTGGGGCCTGCTTCAGATTCTGTGCCTTCCTCTCTCTCTGCCCCTCCCCCACTCGTGCTCTGTCTCTCTCTAAAAAATAAACAAACATTAAAAATAATAAAAAAAAAAGAATGGAGTTTGGAACTTAGTATTAGGAGATTTTAGGCTCTGTTGGCAAGGTTGTCATTTCCTCATTATGGGTCTACTTTGTACTCTTGCTGTATATAAACCATAATTAAAAGCACTTTCTACACATAAAAAAACATTAATAGAGGAAGTAATAGAATGTTTAGGAAAATCATTTAGTTAATATATCCTAAATTTTACTTAGAGAAAGATAAATATTTGTCACCAAGAATTTGTATTTACTAGTGTGTTTTACATAAATAATAAGGATAAATCAGGGCCATGGTATACAATATTAAAATTGTTTCAGATTTTCACTTAAAAATGCAGTTGGTAACATGAGGTACACTGAAAATTTCTGCTTGTGATTCTTCAGCTTTAAAAAGGGAATAAATTGATGTGTTTATGAAATACTTCTACGTCATACAGAAATCTGAAAAAAATATGATACACTAAGTATGGAATTTTTTTATCTGCATTTTTATTTTATTTTTTGTTGGTTTCAGTTTTTTTATTTAAATTACATTCATTTAACATATATTATACTATTGGTTCCCAAGTAGGGAATTACTATTTCTCTTAAAAGAAGGATTTTAGTAATTATCCTGCTATTTTTCCTAGGTTTACATGAAATAAAGGAAATATTTGCTAATTGCCCATTAGTTTCAATGCACTTGTTATGGAGCTAAATTACCCAGTTGGACAGGATACAGATAAAGTTTACCACATACTTGCTTCTTCCAATTCATTCTGTGTTACATAAATACAGTTAAAATGTATAAAGTATAAAATGTTCTGATACTACTGACTAGCCATAATTCACCTCTTGTAAGTAATTGAAATGTGACTAGAATATGGGTTGTAGGATTAAAAATTAGATTGACCAATGCTGTCTCCCTGGAAAATATCTTTATCATCTATAGTTTTTCAGTATCCTGTATTTCTCTGTATCCCCTACTGAAATTGTTACTCAAATATTTTGGGGTATTTTTTATGTAATGCCTATATGCCTTTTAGAATATTTAACTCCCTAAATAGAAGGATTGTGTATACCTTGTTACCAATGTATTTCCAATATGTGACTAGAGTTGTCAGCACTGAATAAGTATCAATATAAAGTATTTCAAGATGGGTTATTTTGAGTTGAGTTCTGTTTATGGAATTCTGTCCAATTAGACTGGGAAAGACTGTCTGCTTTCTGCACTATTGCCATCACAGAAGGGATATGGAGGCAGTTAAAAGATGGTGGCATACCGGGTGCCTGAGTGGCTCAGTCGGTTAAGCATCCAACTGCAGCTCAGGTCATGATCTCACAGTCTGTGAGTTTGAGCCCCAGGTCGGGCTCTGTGCTGACAGCTCAGAGCCTGGAGCCTGCTTCCGATTCTGTGTCTCCCTCTCTGTCTGCCCCTCCCCTGCTCGTGCTCTGTCTCTCTCTGTCTCAAAAATAAATAAAAACATTAAAAATTTTTTTAAAAAAGATGGCGGTATAGGAAAATCCTGAACCCACTTCCTCCTACAGATATACCAAATCTTTAGGTACATATGGAGCAGTTATCTCTGGAAAAGATCTCAAAACTATTTGAACAGCCTTTCCTCAACAAAGGATGAGTCACATCAAGATGGTTAGGAGAGGCAGAGGCATAGTCTCACAGAAAACCTCACCCCAGGTGCAGCAAGCCATAATCAGGAGGGTCTCACAAATATGGAGCATCTTCCTAAGGATCCAGGGGTTTATGCCCCACATCAGGCATCCCAGCCTTGGGACTCTTCCAGAAAGTCAAGCCCCCAAACTGTCTGGCTTTGAAAACCAATGGATCTCACTCACAGGGCCATTGGGAACTGAGTTTCTGCTCTTAAAGTATTTGTACTCAGATTTACTTCGGACCTAGCACAAAAGCATTTGAAAGAGATCGTTTGCCAATCTTAAAGCTTCTCCCAGAGGAGCAGGGGCCTGTTGGGACTCTCGCCTGGATGGAGGTACTGGCAGGTGCTATCTTTGTACTCTGCCTCTACCTTCGCAGCAAGCGCGTGCAGCCACAGGATCCTCCTACTGCCTCACTAAAGCTATTCTCCCTCTGCCTCACTAAAGCTAGTGGGCATATGAAGTCTACACAAGGGATGCCCCTTATCACCTCTTGTTGCAAGGGGCAGGGCTTATATGTCTGGGACCCAAGGAAGTGAAACAACCAGAGGCAGTCCTTGTCAGTATACACCCCACAGGGCACTGCACAGACAGCAGACTGAAATATACCACAGTCTTCCTGTGAAAAATGCCTGTTTATTTGTCCTGGAGCTTTAGTCTGAAAGATATGCTTTAAGTTTGCCACATATCTAGAGACTTCTGAGGTGCTCTCAGAGAATGTAGGTTGGGGGTGTCATCTTTGGGCTTTCCCTTGGCCTCACTACAGCTCACTAGTACTGACCAGGAAGGAAGTTACACACTCATATAGAGCTCCAATTTTTTCAACTGTCACATAGGGGACTTCTCTAGGACTGCCTGGTTTTGAGGTGAGCCGTGTTTATGATTTGCAGTTCCCCAGGAATATATATATATATATATATATATATATATATATATATATATATATATATATGCATACTTTGAAAACTGTTGACTGAGCATCTGGCTTCCAGTTAATTAAGAATAAATTGAGCTGCTTAAGTAATGAAAGATTTGAGACACATTGGTTGATTCGTGGATGTTGAACCATCCTTGCTCATGTACTGGAAGAATTAATATTGTTAAAATGCCCATAGTACCCAAAGAAACACAGAATCAATGCAGTCCCTCTCAAATTCCAATGGATTTTATATGGAAATAGAACAAATAACCCTAAAATTTATACGGAAACACAAAAGACACTGAATAGCCAAAGAAATCTTGTAGAAGAAGAATAAAACTGGATGCATCAAATTACAAAGCTATAATAATCAAGGCAGTATGGTATTGGCATAAAAATAGACGCACAAATAATGGAAAAGAACAGAGAGCCCAGAAATAACCTTATGTATATATGGTCAGTTATTTGTGATAAAGGAGTCAAGAATATAAAATAAGGAAAGGACATTCTCTAATAAAGGGTGCTGGAAAAATGTGGACAGCCCTATGCAAAAGAATGAAACTAAAACAGTGTCTTACATCATATTAAAAAATTAACTCAAAATGAATTAAAGAATTCAACCTAAGACCTGAAACCATAAAACTTATAGAAGAAAACATAAGCAATTAGCTCCTTGATATTGGTCTTGGCAGTTTTGGGGAGTGAATGAGGTGAAGAGGTTCAAACTTCCAGTTTTAAAGTAAATAGTCATGAGGATGTAATGAACAACATGATGACTAGTGTCAATAATATTTTATTGTGTATTTGAAAGTCACTAAGAATGAATCTCAAAAGTTCTCCTCATGAGAAAAAGATTGTGACTTTTATGCTGATAGATGATGACAGACTTACTTAGTGGTGATTGTTTCATAGTGCATACAAATATGGAATCATTAGAATGTACAACTGAATATAATATATGTCAGTTATACCTCAATTAAAAAAAAAAGTTTTAAGGGGCACCTGGCTGTCTCCATTGGTTAAGCATTTGACTCTTGATCTCAGCTCAGGTATTTACCTCAGTGTTGTGAGTTTGAGCCCCATACTGGGCTCTGTGCTGGGCTTAGAGTCTACTTAAAAAAAAAAGGTATTAAGAAAAAAAAGAGTATATAATAACTGAGATGATCAATATTATCTTTAAAATATTTTATAATTTAAAAGCTTGTAAAATTATGGGAAAGACCTATTTTAATGTAGACCTATCTTAAGGAAAGAGCAATTATTAGGTATTTGGAGCAAAATAGACACAGATGTGGCAGCCCAAATTGTGGCTTAATGACCATAGATCCCATACAAATACAAATGTAGTGAATTCATTACATTTCAAGACATTTTGGAATGGAAGAGTTCTAATCCTGAGAATTGTATCAGACAGAGAAGGTAGAGGTAGGAAATTCTGAAAATGGGGTGCGAAAGAGAGAAACAAGGACCCATGTAAGTAGCAGTAAAGGAAAGGACTACAGTGGATGGGGTAGGATGGGGATGTGAAATATCCTAAGTTGTAAGTCTTAGGTCGCATGGCACTGTGTTTAAAGAGTCGTTGTTTTCCCACAATGCATGTTTACCTTCATTTTTTTTTTTTTTTGTTTATTTACTTATTTTGAAAAAGGGACAGAGAGAGAGAGAGAGAGTCTGAAGCATGCTCTGGGCTGTCAGTGTGGGGCCTGATTTGGGGCTTGAACTCATGTACTGTGAGATCATGACCTGAGTGGAAATCAGTCAGACACTCCACTGACTGAGCCACCCAGGCGCCATGCATGTTTGTATCTTTAGACTTTTTTTTTCTTTTGTTTTTTCATCTGTAATCCTTCATGCTGGATAATGGAACATTTATAAAATACTTGGGTTCAACAAGGGGAAGAAAAATCTAAT